TGTGTGTGTGTGTGTGTGTGTGTGTGTGTGTGCGAGGCAGGGAGAAAGAGGGAGAGTTCATCCATACACCTGTAGATGTGTGTGTGTGTGGGCACGTTTTTGCTACATCGTGGAAACCATTTTCATGAGAACACAGCCTCACAGGGACTGAACATGCATCGCGGGGGACCAAAGCCTGGTCTCCATGGGTACGGATGCTGATTTCAGGTGTGGGGTTGGGTTTAGGACCAAGGTGTGAATTGAGTTTAGGTTAGTTTTAAGGTCAGGTAGGTACCTGTGAGGTTACTTTTAAGGTATATGGTCAGGGTTAGGATATAAAGTCTAAAAAACATGAATGGAAGTCAATGGAAGGTCCCCACGGGGTGGAGAAACAAACATGTGTTTGTGTGTGTGTGTGTGTGTGTGTGTGTGTCCGTCCTAGTTTTACTACTTGGTGGGGACGATTTTTCATGGGGACCAGATGCTCCTTGTGGGGACCAAAGCCCGGTCCCCTAGACTTTGGAGGCTGATTTTGGGTTGGGGGTTGGGGTTAGGACCAAGGTGTGAATTGAGTTTAGGTTAGTTTTAAGGTCAGGTAGGTACCTGTGAGGTTACTTTTAAGGTAAATGGTCAGGGTTAGGATATAAAGTTTCCAAAAAAAATGAATGGAAGTCAACAGAAAGTCCCCACAAGGATAGTGAGACATAGTAGGTGTGTGGGGTGGGGTCTATTAACTGAACTATACAGAGCCCAGTCAGATTTGTGTCTGAACTCATGATAATCCTATGAGGTGTACAGTATTAGAAAAGTATCTGAGTATCAGCTACTACAACATCCAGTGAATAATCTAATTTCTTCAGTTAAGGTTATTTTTGTGTTTTCTAAGGAAAACTTGGTGTGAAGGCAATCATAAATTAGTTCAACTCCAAATGTTGATCAGGTGTTGATGTAAATTGTTAAGGTTTTGACAAGGAATGAATCCAATACCGGACGGAGAATAAAAGTTTTCAAAAATGAGAAGATTTATTATAAAAATAAAACTAAAAGCTGATGAGGCAGCAAACTTACAAAAACCTCAAAGGACAACCAGGAGACAACCAGGAGAACCCAAACAGTTGATGTGAAATCAAACAACGAACCAGTGAGTGTGTGGAGTACTGAACCAGATTATATACAGACAGAGGAAATGAGGAGATGAACAACAGCTGGTGAAAACACTAATTATAAACTATTGGCAGGTGTGTGTGTGACAGAGGAGGAAGTAAACAATCTGAGGGAAAAAGATGTGTAATTATAACAAGAGAACACAAGAGAGAGGTAAGACAAAAGACACAAAAACACACAACCTCATAAATTCAGTGATTATGTTCTGAGTTTCATTATATTTTTTCCACAGGACCTTGAGATATTTTGCTAACATGTACCAGACATGGGTAAAAACAAGCAGCACCTGCTGAGCTTTGACGAGTCTGTTTAATTATGCTGCTGCTCTGATTGTAACTAACAGTAAAAAAGTCAAGTACTTTATAGGTTCTGAGCAGAAAAAACTCTTCACTCTTTTAAGAGCAGCAACACACTAAAAGCCTTCTTGAATGATAAAAATGAGCCTGAGGTTGTCTTTCTATTATTACTGTCCAGAACAAGAAGACCTCTGCTGGAACTGGCCCAGAAAGGATATTTTTTTCTTTGACGTGCTGCATGCTGCTCTTTGATGCCACATCAAAAAGATCTTTACAGCTGCACACAAACAACACACTTTAAGATTACAAGTCAGAACTAATGCAGTTATAAATAAGCCCCTAAAATATTCTGATAAATATTTGTCGTCGAGGATAAATAATTCTAATCTAAGGATTTTTAATTAACTGTTTTTAAGACTTTAGGCGGACTTTAGGCAGGTCACACTCTTAAGCCTCCCTGGTAAGGTCTGTTCGGGGGTCCTGGAGAGGAGGGTCCGTTGGATAGTCGAACCTCGGATTCAGGAAGAGCAGTGTGGTTTTCGTCCTGGGCGTGGAACACTGGACCAGCTCTACACCCTCAGCAGGGTCCTGGAGGGTGCATGGGAGTTCGCCCAACCTGTCTACATGTGTTTTGTGGACTTGGAGAAGGCGTTCGACCGGGGCCTTGTGGGGGGTTCTCCGGGAGTATGGGGTACCGGGCCCTTTGATACGGGCTGTCAAGTCCTTGTACGACCGGTGTCAGAG